AGGTCAGTGCACCCCTATGCAGAGCAAGCCACGGGCCAAGGGGCACATCTATATTTTGCGTAATAATTATATTACCTACGCGTGATTACCGGTATGGTTCGAACATGGAGCTTAGCATTTCGCTCTTAGATAATTATTTGCTTTTCTGTGCCGCGCCAACCAATTTCATATATTGGCATACCAGCGTATTCGGAGTTAATCGGAATAATTATATTAATTGCGTGGAATATAATAACTCTTGGATCTATTTCTACCTCCGTGGTATTGGTAAGCCTACAGTTAACTAGTTCTGGGTTTGTTTTTACCTCCATCAAGTTAATTGACTGATTCTGCGAGTATAGGCATATGCCAGATTTTTTAATTGCTCCGTGGTCTGAAGGCCGATGTGTGGAACCGTATTTATTCTTCTGTGTGGTTTGATTAAGCAAAAAGCCTAAAAGGACACCCCAATCCAGCCCTTGACCCGCTATGGGCACAATCCATGGTCGTGGTGGTGCTCCGCCCCGGAGGATAGCTCCGTGGCCGCAGGGAGGGGAGGGCGATGCATCGATGAACCACAACGCCACCTTACGTTATGGAAAGCTGGGGCTAGCCTTGCCTGGCTTGGTCGGCCGGTGCTTTGAGTCTAGTCACGTGCAGTTTACACGTAATTATGCTACGTACGTGTGGAGCACCTCAACAATTACCGAACGTGCCCCTTAATCAGTGTCGTTTGTGATTGAACGTGACCCTCACCGTTATCATGGCGCTGTGATGTTTGAGATAGGACTATTACTAGCCAGGAGGTTGGAGAGTAGTCATTAAGGTCATGTCAGCTAAAGCTGTTTACTGTTTGATTTCGATAAGGTGGGCTGTATACGTACATAAAAATCCACTGTGGCGGGGGATCAAATATAAATAAACTCGATCACGTATCAGTTCGGCATTGCTGTTGACAGTGGTTGAGGGAAGGTTGACTAGGGAAAGGTGTAGCCTGTAGCATATGGGCGTATAAATTATAATGCTCCATGGAAAATAGAAACAATTGGCAACAGGTAGCTTTGTATAAAAAGGCTGAAGTTCAATTTGTACTCGTCTGCAACGTTAACGAGCAGTTTGATGTCAGTGCTTGTGCTATTTTTCTGGTTAAAAGGATTTAGGCACGGGCCAAAGTTGCAAACCTTGCCTTCCTCCATCAGTCACCTCATGGACTGATTTTTAGGACTCTGTATTCACTGTTTTCCCTGAGTTTTATTAAGAGAGCAAACTCATGTTCATCACATTTTTTGTTTTTATTTCAGACGCAAGGTTTGTGGATGTTTACATACAGTGTACATGTAAGTTTATAGTGGCACACCATACAACATGGATACACACATGACAGATGAACTGAGTAAGGACCAAGAACGGCTAGCTGATTCCAGGGAACCCCTTCTTAATCCTGAACATGCTAAAACTGGGTATGGTAAACACAAAGTTGTTCCTGAAGGTATGTATTGTGAATTTTTCAACAAATCCATTCATGTTTATTGATAGTTTGTAGGCCCAGACAGACAAAAACAATTTGTCCAAGTGCAAAATGAATTATAAGGCCTAAATGTAAAATGACTTGAAACTTTTGAATTAAAATTTCATTAGCTGTGTGTACACATGCAATGTACGTAATAATGTAAACTTATCTGTGTGCAAGGTAGTAGGGACATCCATGAATATACAATGCCTTAATTGCCTTCCTTGTTTCTGCCATTGGTGTACCCTTTATTCAAGTTTTGATCAAAACCTCAGGATTGAAATTTCATTCTTTCTTATCAGGGCCAATACTTAATGCACAGGGGCTTCGGGGTGTATTAGGAACCTCCATTTAGCCCTACTAAAATAAAAGGAAAAAGTTGACAGACTGCCACCCGAGTCTCCCCCCCCACCAAACCTTGATCTGCTGCGTACATGTATGTACTTCAATTTGTAGTGGAGAGCCCCTACACAGGGCTAGCATGGTGATGGGGAGGGAGGGCGAAGTAAAGGGTCAAAGGGGAGGGCAAGAAACCAAACCTTTGGTATATAAGAAAATTAGAAATGTATATGTAGTCATCCTGCTAACTGCACAGCATCCCTTGTAGGCTTAACTAGTAAGTAGTAGTAAATCTTAATGATCACAATCTTGGTTTCACATTCCTTGCATCACACAGTTCCTGGTTGCATATCAGCACGCTATGCTCTAGCTCTCTTCAGCTTACTGGGTTTTGTAAATGTGTACGCCATGCGTGTCAATTTGAGCGTTGCCTTGGTTGCCATGGTGAATCACACAGAGACCAATCACAGCATTACTGCCTGCCCTGCAACAAACACTACAGCAGTCCCTAAGGTTAGAGTCAGAATTTGATTTGTAATACTCGTAGTCAAGTACTTATTTCTTTTTCCTCTGACTATTTTTCTTCTTCTTTTACTTCTTGTTCTTTTCAAAAACCCGTAGTTCAGTTTGTACCTAGCTTGTCTGGCAAAGACTTTGGTCACTTTATTTTCCTCAGGAAGGAGAATTTAATTGGGATCAGTACACCCAGAGTGAGATTCTTGCATCTTTCTTCTACGGATACATCTTTACTCAACTTCCAGGAGGGTGGCTAGCCGACCACTACGGAGCAAAGAAGCTATTTGGATTGGGTATATTATGCACAGCTGTCTTTACACTGGTTACACCAGTGGCCGCAAGAGCTGGCTTTCAATGGCTTATAGCACTGAGGATACTGGAGGGTCTTGGAGAGGTTGGTATCAAAGATTATATGAGTCACAATTTGTTATATTTGAAATTTGAGTTTCCAAAACAGATTTTAAATTGTGAAGTCATTTGGTCAGGGAAATTTCCTATGATGCTTACGTTGCCAGCAGAGTTAATGACAGTATTTCACAAAGTTTTGCTTAAGAAAGAAATGGCACCTATTATTGCTATGTCTGGGATTTCTTGTTGTAGGGTGTGACCTTTCCTGCTATGCATGCCATGTGGGGTCACTGGGCCCCACCTCTAGAACGAAGTAGACTGGTCACTATTTCATATTCAGGTCAGTGCAGTATTTGCTTATGTTCTGCTATGGAGGAGCACATGGGTCCAGTTTGAAGTCCATTCCACCATTTCTAAGGTGTTGAAAAGGTTGACTTACCATTACACCCATCGCGTGGAAATCATTGTTGTAGTGGAACCTTGTCAGACCATCACAAGACCCCACAAAACCAACACAGGGCCGTCACAAGACTCCACAATGCCAACACAGGGCCGTCACAAGACTCCACAATGCCAACACAGGGCCATCACGAGACTCCTCAATACCAACACAAGGCCATCACGAGACTCCTCAATACCAACACAGGGCCATCACGAGATCCCAAAATGCCAACACAGGGCCATAACGAGACTCCTCAATACCAACACAGGGCCATCACGAGATCCCACAATGCCAACACAGGGCCATCTCGAGACTCCTCAATGCCAACACAGGGTCATCACAAAACCAACACAAGACCGAGACAAGACCTCCAGTCTGAAATCAAGTCACAAGCTATCGTATTGAACTGCAACAAACTATTCCTTTGTCTTAGTTCACCTTGTTTCCCTGTAACTTATCTTGTAACAGCTTTGACTTCAGCATGCATGGAAGTGAATGCTAATTCTTCTGTGTTAAATGCAGGTGCTTATTTAGGTACAGTCATCTCACTACCTATATCAGGGGTGTTGTGCAACTCGGACATATTAGGTGGATGGCCATCTGTCTTCTATTTGTTTGGTAAGTGATTCTGCCCCTGGTTTTTCTTCAAGGAGATACATGTATATCCAAAGAAGGAAAGATGAATCAGTTGCTAGAGCAGTGACAGGGTAATTACCTGAGACAGGTGTCTGGACATATTTCAGATGGCATTATTGATGTCCATCACAAGTCATCCCGGGCCAAATGACATTTTCTTGTCGTTGTCATTTGTGACTGGACTTGTGATGTACTTTGGAACTCTGCTCATATGCACAAACTTTTGTAGTCAAACTTTTTTTAGATTTAGCAACTGACGTGGATCAGTGCGCCTTTTTTGCAGTTTAAGACAATTATAATCTAAAGCTGTCCAACAGTGTTACAGCATGCAGAGGTTCTATTCCTATATTTACAAAAACAAAATCAGTTCCATGTGATGGTATATTTTTTGGTCTACTAGTTTATTAGAACATCAAAATCTTTTAAGTACACTTTAAATCCAAAGGCATTGTGGGGCACAGCATAAAGATACAATTCTCACCACGTGTCAGATGGTCGGTTGATGGTTGGCAATAAACATGCTCATGTCTTTACAGGTACTGCAGGTGTAGTATGGTTTGTAACATGGATGTTATTTGTTCATGATAAACCATCCATGCATCCACGGATTTCCAAAACAGAAAGGGATTACATCACGAGGTCAATCGGACACAAGCAGAGGGCAAGTGTTTGTACTGTTTATGTTTACATTTCGGCGCTAATTGCCAGAATTATTTAGATCACTGGATGAGTGCACATCTGAAGTCTTTACAAAAGTTTTGAATCCTCTGAGCCTGCTTAATCATAATTGTTTACTCTGAAACCAGGCCTGATGCAAAGTGGCTCTTGTTTTTTATTCTGCAGAGTTCTGTTGTGCCATGGTTCAGTATACTCACCTCTCCATGTGTTTGGGCTGTTGTCATCGCTCATTTCTGTAACAACTGGGGATTTTACACACTATTGACCAACCTGCCTACATACCTGAAGGTTGTTCTTGGGTTTGACATATCTGAGGTGAGCTTCAGAGAAACATTTCTTGTAGACAATGTAACAGAATGTCCCCTGAATGTGCTTTTTCCTTCTGATATCCTTCATTTCAAACTAGTATGTTTGCCAACATGTTTTGCCAGCATGTTCTGAAGTGGAATGACCACTCTCTGAGTAAACTAAGATGTGTACACATATTGAAATATGAAACAAAAAAATGCCAAACATTGTTCCAAATGACAGTGGTGCTCCAAACATTGGCGCAAATCCTGGTAGAACTTTCTGAACTTAACTGAGACCAAAATCTTCATTAATTTTAGAACTTTAATTTCAAGAATTTCTGTAGATTACTGACTCATGATTTTCTCTTTTTTTGTGGTGGTTGTCCAAGTCCTGATGACTCCAACAACCTTCGAAGTTGTATCTTGTATTTGTCAACTTTGACTGCTTTTTCCAACAGAGTGGGTTCTTGGCTGCAGTACCCTACCTGGTATTTTGGTGCATCGTACTTGGTGGGGGTCAAATTGCTGACTTTCTACGAATGAGGGGAATATTAACCACAACCACCACTAGAAAGCTTTTCAATTCTACAGGTGAAAGCTGGAATTCCAATGAATGAATAGAAGCTTCCCCCAGACTAGATAAAAAACCTAATTAAACTTAGGCCTTTAATCTCAAAACCATTTTTCACATGGGTTTTTAAGCAAAACCTTTTGTGAATCCTCAAATACCTCTGTGAGATTTTTTGTGGTTTAAGTGTCTTTACAGTGATCTGGGTCAACTTCCTAATTTTCGTAAAGTCGTCAAACTTTGGTTGGATTTTAGAGAATTCAGCAATTGGCTAATATTCTGGACAGGCATGAGAGTTGGAATGGAAGTCAAATTCTATACTTGCAACTATTGTATATCTGATTGTATATCTGATCAATTTGTTCAACCCTATTTATGCTGCTGATGTTTTGAATGGGTTTATCAGGTTTCATCTTGCCAGCTACATTCCTGGTCATCACTGGCTATGTGGGCTGCAATCACTACCTTGCCATTGTATTTCTGACTCTCTCTGTTGGTTGCTGTGGTGTTGCCGTGTCAGGATTTAATGTCAATCATCTAGATTTGGCCCCAGACTACGCTGGTCTGTTGATGGGTATCACCAACATGGTCGCCACAATACCAGGCTTCCTTGGGCCTCTACTCGTTGGTGTGATAACTGAGAATGAGGTACCTATCTGCCATATTCCTGAACAATTGAGGCTGCTATTTGCTGAAATGTTGCACTTTTGAACTTCTGTTCATCAGTGTCTACTGTGTGACTTTTATTCATTATTTTGGTGCTGTAGATGTTTTGTTTTTGTTACCCTGTTTGTGAAGCCCATTTCTGATGAAAAGAAAACAAGCAAAGTATGTAATCTGATTATCTTACCTTCCATATTGGAAGAGGTTTTAACTTGTTGGCCATGTTTTCTCACACCATATTTTTTGTGGTTTTTATAAAGGAAACCTTTGAACGCTGGTGCATAATATTCTGGATAGCATTTGGGATCTACATATTCGGCACATTGACATTTATCACATTCGGTTCGGGAAAGAAGCAAGCTTGGGCAATGGATAACAACCAGAAGGTGGAAGCAGGTGACAAGGAAAACAAACCCAGTATTAACCAATCTGAGAGGTAATTCCCTTTTTTTAAGTGACTGAATGGTTTTTGCAGTGAAATATCTGCAAGTAAGGTGCTCAAAAATGCACAAAAACTCAGCATTTGTATTTTAAAGTCCTGTTTTGTTCAAATGTTCAAGGAATTCTCAGGATTTTTCATACACTTAGTGAATTTTAGGCTTTTAGGCTGTGAAGTTTTATTTTCTTTATTTCTCATGTTCACTTTGTGTCTACATTCGTTTTAAAATCCTGTTGGATGTTTCTATGTGGGATTACTTGCCAACAAATGTACCTTCAGGCATAACGTGTTTGTTCATGCTTTCAATTGATTAGGTATACATGTACATGTATGTATCTTCATATTTCTCCCGAGGAAGACACTTCAGAAAGTAAGGCAAAACTGTCATTAGCAAAATAAACTAGTACATTTTTTAATTTTAATGCCTCTTTGGAATTTTCACCGACTTTACAATTTCTGCCTTTACACTGTGTAGAAATGTTCCATTTATCTGGACAGGTTTTTTTTACACTTTTATATTCTTTTTACTTAACTACGCACGAAAGATAGGACTTGCTGCAGAAGCATTTGAAAAACATACATATATACTGTCTGAAATTTTCTAGCTGAAATAATCCAGGTTTCATGTATCTAAAGTTAAAAAAACACAGGTACAAAGAAAACTGTCAGTCAACTTGAACTGCAGTACTACCTCATACACTATGTCCCACATTTGTCCACATAAAAAGATTTGATGACTTTTCTCTGTTCCCTGCTACGCTTTTTCAGAACATTTCTGAACCATCTGAGAATCATCCAAGATTGGGTTTAATCCACAAAACGTTTGGAAATCAATTTATTCCCATGCTAATATTGGAAGAGATTTGCAGACCCAAAGCCAATTAATGTTAAAAGGAACATGTGTCAGTTGTAGGTAGATTTAAGATCTCTTTTGAAGATACACCTGCTCAGAATTCTATTGAGGTTTATTTTGGCTGATTTTGGTTTCTTTCAAATGTGATATATGTATAGTGGAACAAGCTGTAACAAACATGAAGGGTTCCACACAAAATGTTCAGTATAGCAGTCATTTGGTATCACGGTTTTCAGCCACAGATGCATCTGTCTGATCTTTGGCCCACTCAAACTTGGCAGCCTGCCCTCAAATGTTTTAGTATAAGGATTTTGGGCAAGCACTTACCCGCAAAAAATAAGGCTAACTCGACCAGTACATGTATTTGAATTAAAGGAAGCCTTTCAATATACAATTTTCTTGATTTAGATTTTTCAAGGAAACTATTATTTTCACATTATAAAAATTAACGCTCCTTATTTTGTATTGATTTATACAAGATAATACAATAAAATAGCTTTGCCTAAAATACAACAGTATTACTTTTGATGAGTGCACTTTCAAGTGTGCTCAACTTTTAGTTTAGTTTACAATACATTTCCCAAATTGGCTAATGAATCAAGGATTTAGACAACTCTTATTGATAGCACTCTTAATTCCTGCTAATTATACAATAGCAAAATAAAAAAATAAAATGACTGCAAACAAACATTTATGAATGTGTAGTTGTATTTTACAGAAAAGTATTAAGTGTAATCAGTGGTTTCAGTGTACTTCTTGAAAGCATCATCTGAGGAATGCTTACCAATTAATGAGTGTATTGTTTGCCTATGGTACATTTATCGGCTAACCAATCAAGGTGAGTCCTTTACCAAACTTCAGTGGAATATGTTTTTCTTTACTAGGATTTCTGAAACTTGTTCATTCAATTTTGTTGTTTCATTGTTATGAAAATCCACAAGTAAACCAACTTTCATAAAATTATTATTCATTATCTGTCAGCCAATAACGTGCGTGTGTACTTGTTTTTCATTTTGATTTATGCACTTTCAGCTAATATTTTTTGTAGCAATTAGGAATGGACTCAGTGTACGATAAACTTAAATTTTCATCAAGGTTCTTTCCTCAGTATGATATACAAGTATTATAGTTACTTTCATATAAAATTATTTAATATGGAAAAGGGAATAAAATTACAAGAATAATGTATAAAAATTTATTTAAATTACAAAGATCACCGGAATGGTTATATCGTTGTTAAAGGTTGACTTCCTTAGAGTGCGAAGTGAATGAACTGTTCAGTGTTCAGTCAACACTTGTAAAATAAGGTAGCTCCTCATTAAACTATTACCTTGACATAATAATTCTTGGGTGTGCATTTAAGTTGAAGATAAAAAGAAATACATGTAATCCTCCAAGCAATGGTATACATGTATAACAAATTGATGAGTCATCACCAATCAAAGCCCTGGCTAGATATAAGGTGTCCCAAGTTAATTGAGGCAGGTTTGGCAAATACTGTAACACTCTTGCCATATCCCCGATCTGCATAATGTAGGTAGACTGTAGGTTTCCACTAAAACACTCTCGTGCAGACGGCTGTCATTGAGCTGTACATACACTGAGTTTTGTCTGTAAGCAGCCATTTGCACCAGCTACCTTCAGTTATTCTGACCTCCTTTTAGGTAAAGGGGTAAGCACCCCTTCACACCGGACTAGCTGACAATTTCGGAACACTCAAAACACCAGAGTACACCAACTGTAAGACCTGTTACACTTGTTGAATACTTAATAGTCAAACACCCTTATAACAAGGTCACTTGAGTTTACAAATTACCTTGTTTTGATAGAGACTGTGTTATCAGTGTTGCATAAAAATGAGAAAAAGAGTACAGAGACTAAGGCCTGGGGAACCTTCAGTTTATCTTGGTTTTCGACAGGGTGTTGTATTAAAGTGGTTTGGTTACCGATGTTCAACTGTATACCCACAGAAGATGTGCTCGAATGATCAAACGTGAATTGTGTTACTACAAGGGTGGTGGTTGTTTCGTTAAGTTCAATCTTCAGTTCATACTCGGAGCACACTGGTATCTTGTTCTGTGATCTGAGGTGGTACTCTTTACATCACCTGGTTTGGCATGCTCTTATTATTTTCACAAAACGAAAGTTGGAGGAATAAGATAATTTTAGAGAAAGGTAAACCATTTCAGAATGAATGAGTTGTTTTTATGATTGATGTATAAAGTAAAATTACCGACGTTTTGAAAGAGACGATATTCACGGTCAAAATTACCAAGTTGGATCCATAACAGTTGAATGGCAGGTGTCACCATCAGACAGTAATCAAAGCCATCATAAGTCATCCAACGTCGATTTAAATCACAAGCTTCTTAAAGAAACTATAACAGATTCATTCCTCTGCCACGTATTCCCTCTTGCTTGTAACAAGTGTTGTGACTTTATTTGTGATAGACTTGATTATGTATGCAACCCTTTCGATGTAGCCACCCAGAACATGCTAAGGCAGACCTGTTGGGCTTGAAACTCTGCTTTAGCCATCCACACAGTCAACACAACAGGTGAGCTACTTCAGACTGATGCATCATCTATTTGGGTCGCCATCCTTGGATGAACTTCATAACTTTCTCAACATCAAAGTTTGACAGTCCAAAGTCAGTGCGAAGCATATCCTTGTTCAATGTCATCATCAAGTCTCCATCCACGTGATTTTTCTTGAATGTGTCAATGTACTTCTCCAGATTGAGGAGTCTAAGGCATTGACTGACTTGTGCCAGTGTTAGTCCATTGAGTTTGCCGGGGATATCCTCGACTCTGGTGAAAGTGTTGTTGGTAGAGACAGCAGCATTGTTACTTCGGAATCCAGCAGGCTTTGGTCTCGGTGCTACTGGAAGCGGATTCCCTGGTGAGGAATTCAGACCAGCCTTTTTTTTGGCCAAAATCTTTTGAAGCTCATTTGGCGCTGATTCAGCCTGAGGTTTACCGAAAGCATTGCTTCTGGGACTGCTGTGATTGTCAGTGCCATTAACTTTCCCACCATCAACCATGTCAGTATCAAGCTCCATTGCCTTAGACAGCCTTCGTTGTTGAGCTTTCTTTAACTCATCCATCATCGACATGCCCTGATCATTACTAATCTTCCGAGTCATTGGGGGTTTGGAGATAGATGTTAGTGTAGATGTTGGCTGAGGTGTTTGCTGAGATGGTGGCTTCCAGTCCAGCCCAGGAGGAGGAGGAGGTGGAGGGGGCGGGGCTGGTAATCCAGTGGGTGGCACAGGGGCTGGTGGAGGTTGAGGAGCAACTGCAGGTGGTGGTGGAGGAGGAGCAACTGCAGGTGGTGGTGGAGGTACCACAGATGTTGGAGTTGATGCTGCAGAGGAGGCAGGGGAGGAGAGGGAAGATGCGACAGTAGCTGGTACTGGTGGAGGTGCTTGAGCAGGAATGCTAGTCTGCCTGTTTGGGATTGAAGAAACAGGTGGTGGGGTGGGAGGTGGTCCGTAACCAGCCTCTTTAGCCTTGGCACTTTCTGGGAATATAAAAGCGCTTTCATTTGCATCATAGTCTGGTGCCGGTATGTGAACAGGTAAAGTTTTCAGATGCTCATAATCAGAGTCTGCTGAGCTTGTGGAGCTGGCAGTTCGATGCTCGAATGCATTTATAATTCCTGGTGATTGCGGTATAACCGGACCTTTCCGGACGCGACCTGTTGGTGACACCAAGACTTGCTCAGGACGTGCCCCCACTGATGGGGACCTGGCCCGATATGCTCCACGTGAAGTTTGTGTAGCATCAACTGAGGGTGACCGGTTGCGACGATACCCTTGTACTGGTGTAGTTATTATGGGTTGTGGCTTCTGAGCCCTTGCTCGTGTTGCAAATCCATTGATGTTTGAGTTGCCTGTGTGATTCTTGTCACGTCGTGTGTCTGGTACAGGACTGTCTCGAGTAGGTCGAGCCGATGTGGGAATTGGAGGAGGTTGTAAAGGGATGCTGCTGGCATGAGCATCTTGACTCTGGCTTCTTTTCTGTAAAATTGACCTGCTTGGCATGGTTGCACTGCTTGGAGGAACAGGTCGACTACCGCGACTCGGGGATTCATGGGGTCGTCCCCTGGCCTGGTGTATGCTCTTATCATGAGGTACAGTACCCATAGACATCATATTTGTAGCTGATGATGCCTTGGTCATGTGCTTGGTTTTCCCAGCCTCTCCATTTTTGGCAGTTGGCTGTGCTATCGTTCCTCCAGAAGAGGGAGCTTTGACACGAGCCCCTCCTGCAGAGGTTACTACAGGAGTGTGGCCAACAGTACGGGCACCACTTGTCACTTGACCTGTCGGTGTCTTGCTACGAAGTCTTTCTTTAGCTGAACTGACGTAGAGTGTGCCAGTTGGGAATATTTTCTCATAGTCTTCTTGGCTTTCTGCCTTCTCTAATCGCTTGTCCGAGAAGAAAGTGATATCTGACGAAAAAAATAATATGATAATCGTCGTTTAGAGCAAAGCAGAAGTGTCTTGAAAGGAAATGTGAGTCTTCAGTATTTTTTTGTTTTTGTTTGTATATTTGTACATGTATTTGCTCTGTCCTTTTTAAAACATGTATTGCCTTAATCAGAAACTCCTTCATAATCCGGGAAAGTTTCAAATCTGTCTTATTGGATGACAGCCTCAGAATAACTGAAAATAATATTGGATTCCATCATTGTAGACTTGTATATTAGTACATGTATAGGCACATCTTAGTACTATTTAAATCTGTACCAAATGTAAATACCAGCAGCCAGTGTAACAGGTTGTAAAAATATAGAAATTTTAAAGAGCTGCATTGCATCAAAGTATTGAAAAAAGTATGTACAATCAGTGCTCTTAATTTATCTTTGCCGAGCTTTCGGTAACTGGGTACCTTCATCAGGGCAAGCAGATTCAGTTCTTGGTTCAGTTCAGTTGTGATATCATGTTGGCAACAATATCATAGTTTTCATTCAAATGTTGTATCCAAACACATTGGCTTGGTTCCTTACTTTGATTTCCAGGAAAGAGTTCAAAGGTCACATGCTTAGCAACAAGCTTCTCCAATAATGACTGATACCGCCCCCACTGCTCAACTGAGTGTTTCGTGAAGCCTTCCGCCAGGTTGACTTCAACTGGCAAATACAGCGGAATGTTGACAACTTGTGTGTCAAGATGATCTGAAATGGCCAATAAATGTAGCTGTTAATGGAAAACATTGAGGTTCAATACTTGATTACAACTTCATCTATACCATTCAGTACCGAACAATTACTCCACTTTTACAAGTATAATGCCAGAATTACACGAGCTTAACTTTGATTTTCAACACATCACTGAAGTTCCTTTTTTCCTTTAGATGTAAACTGCAGTGGTTAGCATGAAACATAGTCTTTTGTTTTTGTGCAGAATTGCATAATCAAGGATTATCTGAAAGTGTAAAAGTTGTCATGACAGCATCGGTCACTTCAACACAACAGTTCTTCTGATAAAGATTTTCAAGTGGTCTTTGTGGAATGTATTAAATTGAATGAGTAAGGTCTTGCTCAACTTACTGTGGTAGATAGCATTGCCTTGGAGGTAGGAAACTTCGTACATATTCTTCAACACGAGTGGGCTTAGTTTCTCGGACACGCTGCCCTTTGCAGTGTGCAAGTCAAACTGCAACTCATCGCCAAGGAAAAAGGTGACCTCTTGAGGCAGAAGAGCTCGATCAATGACGTCACGCATGTACATAGGTTTAGAACCTAGCAATCAATAAGCCAAGAGTTTATGTGTTTGACATAATTACAGGACAAGCCAGATGTTGCAAAGAATTGGTCACTTTATATGAGAGAGTGTACGGTTAGTTTACAAGCGCATTAAAAAGAGTTTGGAAAAGAAAAACGAAACTTGCCGACAATGCAATAAACGCCACTCATCAACAAAAACGTAGAACTTCTAAAAAAACATGTTAGAAACAGAAATCATCCAGAGTAGCAACGATCACACATACCACAGCGTTGCATGATTATTACCTAAACTTTAATTTCAGAAAGAATTAATTTCAGGAGCAGCTTACGTTTTTTGCTGGAGAGAGCTTCAAATCTGGCGTCGGCATATCGCAGTGGGATACTCAGCCATTTACTTTTCTTAATGCTGGCCAGAACTCGTGTTTGGGTATGAATTTGGTGAATGCGAAGTATCTAGAAAAAGTAGAAGTGGGAAAGCAGCTCGTTCATAAAAAGTCAGCAATAATATGTCACACCTTCTGGTCGAAATACGTTCAAGGAGAAATCCACCTTTATGAACCTTTTAAACTTGATAATCAGACTTTTCAAACATGAGCAGTTGCTGTAAAGTGCCAGAATTTTCTCCTTTGGGAATTCTGTTCACATTTCTTACCTGATCTTTTGATAGTGTTTCATTTTCATCAGGCGAGATGAATCCGACAGACACTTTCATTATTTGGGGGAAAGTACATCGTTTGAGAGCGTCACGCAGCGTGTATGAACGTCGGGACCACCTGATGTCTTCTACTTTAGAGCCCATGGTGGCTTGCCTGTTGTCACGGTCGTTCAGATATGCTCATTCGCCGCGGTCTTGACCAGGTCTTTATCTAGAAGTTTCTAGAGAAACAATAATTGACTACGTTTAATTAATAGTACTCTGGGTTTGATTTTGGTATGAAACCCTTATTTCCAACACCCCGGCTTGGTATGATCAACCGGTATTGTTACCGTCCCGATTTGGCATTGGCAGCCCGATTTAGCGAGACCTCATTTTGCTTTATCTCCAGCCCGTGCAGCATTCTGTCATTCTGAAGTCTGGCTGCATGGATTCATATGCCATTCCACTTGAAAGAAAATAATGCAGACAAATCACGCGCAGGACTACATATACTGTTCTCCGAAATTGAACCGAATTTCGGATGGTTTCTTCGCAACGACTCTATCCCTGAGCAACTTCCAAAATTGTAAGTAAAATGACTCTGTGTCACTGACAAAGCACAGCGTGATCTTGGACATCACACAAGTACAACAGTAAGTTTGGAATGTTAAAACGTGGTACAATTTTGAACCTATGACGTAAGCCTACAACGATATACATGTACAGTTGAATATCGCTAATAAGAGGTCTTTCGGACTTGGCAAATTACCTTGTTATAACAGGAATGTGTAATCAGTATCAGGAATGAAACAATGAAACACCAAGGACTGGGACCTAAAAATGTCCTTGTTATAAGCAGAATCTTGTATTAACAGTGCTCTTATTAACGAGGTTCGACTGTACCCTTCATTTTACGGTACAATGCACGCCCACATGCCGGAGTATGGCAAGGCCTAGGCCTACACCTTGTAATCCTGGAGGGTTGACGACTACACAAGCCTGCAAGTATTGTTGTGACTTTCGTTGTAGACTGCGTGTCGTTTCCAGGGCCAAACGTGCGAATAAATCAACTCTGTGTCAATCACAGCATTTATATTACCATCCTTGAACTTTCCACTTCGTATCAAGCGTTCTGAGTAATCACAGCGACTCATTTATAATTTGCCCTTCGAAAGCATTTAATTATGAACTGTGAATCGGGGTCATTAAATTCAGATTATGAGAGCATTTTACCAAAATGGAGTTGAACTAGAAGTCAACCAGTAAGACTTCACGAAACAAAGGAACGTTCCAGTCGGATCGTCTCGCATGTAGCTTTTTATAATTCCCACCAATTACGCAAACGCGATTACCGGTTGTCTGCTATATTTTATACATGTACACTGGCCACTAATGATCGCGGTTTACCCTACATAGAGTGGAATTTCCTTTTTCATATTTATCATCTTTTCAATCACACATCTCTCCATATCACCCCACAGACATATTCATCTCCTCCACTTACAAGCTCACGTTTGAAAGGCAAAAATAATTTACTCTAAGCAGCGATCATACTATTTTTAATATGTTAGAGTATTCTAGTTCTGAGGGGACTCTGGACTTGCTTATTTTTAATAGTTTTGTTATAAATACTCATGATCTATATATTAATTCAAATAAGCCTCTGTGAAGCGTTTGGGAGAATTTTATTTAATTCGATTTGGCGCTGTATAAAGGTATTTTATTATTTTTACTGTCGCCCTATCCGAGCATTTGTCGATTGTATTACATTGATCATTATTATTCCCATCGTGAACTTTACACGTATCATTTTCACAGTCCCAGAGTGGCATGACATATACATGTAATACTACGTTATATCAGGTAACCATGCAACAGGCAAGAAGCATATTACATATTGATCCCTGTCCATCACACGTCCAGTTAGGGTGTACATCACGGAGAACTCAAATGGCTAATGGACTTTGACTAATCACGCTGCAAATTAATCGTAACGCCGGATTAACCAAAAAATATGTACCCGATAAAAGAATTTATAGTGACACATACAAAATCTTGAATAACGTCTATTAATGTCTATAAATTGTATTTATTTATATGCCAGATACATTTAATTGTGCCCCTCCGTGAATGTAACAACAGACATCAGGCCCTTATCTTTCATGAAAATTTTGAAAATGTGACTGAGAAACGTTATTTTAAAAGAAGCATTTTGTTTTGAAAGAGTTATTTTGCTTGAATAACCTGAACAGTCACATGTATTTGCATGTTGGTCCTTCAAACGCTCCGTTTTAACTTAAATTAGGAGCATTTATCTACAGTATTCACCAAAAATAGACAACGAAAACAAAAAATAACAAATATGTGAGTAGTAATTTATTGTTGATAATTTGTGAAATTCCACCATGACAGATGAGGATATACATGTACCACCGAAGGACAGGGGGTGAGTGATTCATAACATTACAAGTTTCTAAAATTGATTTCATTTCAACGACGACGCTTAGCGACAGCAGCTGCGGTGGAGATGAACGGACTTCAGCGAACAGGTGAAATTTTACATGTATCCGCCATCTTGCAATGTATACCCGGCACACACTAATAATGATATGAACAGCATAATTCAACAGAACAGCCAGGTATATTATGCAAACGCAACGTACGTCGAAGCATACATTTACCGTGATTTCAAATACATAGGCTCTTTGAAAATTGTGAATTAGTTGTCGTGTGAAATATTCTCTTCAACACAGGGAATGAAAAGTTCGATGCAGGTAAATTTTGTTTTTGCAGGGGAGCAGCGACATGAAATAATGTATGATTAGTGTGTTCAGCATCAATGGTGAATCAAGTAGTGTCCAAATTCGAACATGAACATGAACATGTTCGAAGAAAAGAATCCACCTGCACTCAGTAGATATCATTCAAAACGATTTCCCCATACCAATAATATTATCATTATTAACTCTGTAAAACATCTCTACGGTTTTTTTTACTCATGTATCTGTTAAATAGTGTAATTTTTTGATAATTGTATTCAAAGAACAAAAAAACAACTATCACCACCGAAGTATGGGTCATATATAATTTGATAATCACCATCAGTGATCACCATTCTTGTAATCCACTCTCTCACCACAACGCACCATTAGCAGCAGCATCACCACTTTGGCTATATGCCTTCAACATTCTACCTGATACCTAATAATTTTCTACGTACAGCTAAAGATCTAGCAGAATTCAATGAATGCGGATCTGGGTGACACTTGGTTGGTCGTTTACAAAAAGACTATGAGAAATTGTAGAATTGTGTTGGGAATTTCGTGAGAAATAAGAAATGATCTATTTCTAAGCTCATGTTCAACATGTTTAATGAAAAAAGTGACATCACGACAATACTTCCTGTCCAAATAAAGCTGCAGAGCACTGTCTAGTACATGCAACAGTATGTAGCATTCAACATTTCATTGCTTAACTATATGCAAGGTCTTTTATCTTGCGTTACTGTAAGATCATTTACTCTTAAATTAATCAAACGAAATCGCATTCAGATAATTCACAGGAAGATCGCCATCTTGGACCATCATAATTTTTTAGTGTTACAAGCACAGGCAGTTTTAAAAAGGACCGCCTGTTAATTTGGGGGATTTTATTGAGGAAGGGGAAACGAGCATGGGGGCAAGAGGAGCTGCTGCCCCCCCCCCGTAAAAATTGAAAAACAAAAACGGCGACAAAAAATTCGAAAGAAATGAAGAGATGAATGGGGAAGAAAATCCCCAATTCGCATAAAAAATCCAGCCGTTAATTGTATATCATTGTTTGGCTGAGGAGTGCTTTACCGCTCCCTGGATACCGGAGTTGCCCCCTTGAAAAAAATTGTTCCCCCTCCCCGGTAATAATCCTGGCGACGCCCATGAAAGGGGGTTCAGTATCTGGGCATAAGAGGTTTGAAAAAGAGGATAAACTTGTTGATTTTATGGCATTCGAGAATTCGAAACTAAATTTATATACCGTACGAGAGTACCTTTCGCAATTTTGCTTTTCGATTAATCAGCAATGTAATCCCACAAGTATGTCTGTGGGCGTTGCTTGCTATGATACAAATACATGTACGTAGATATTCAACGGCTGAATGCAACACGTCTTGTCGAACTGTCTAATGCCGAAACGTCTCACTTCTTATAGTAAAGTACATCTTTGCAATTAATGTACGATGATTACCACTTCGTTATATGGCTTTGAATGAAGCTTTCAATTGGCCTATGTTTATATTCTGCGCACGAACTGGGCTTGATCTGTCTTCGTGAAAAATGCAATTTCTCGACTTGTGGGGAAACTTTTCCCCCGTCTGTTCCTCTTGTCAACTGTGGCAACTTACCAACTAATAGTGTGCTATCCTCCCCGGTGATACAGTCATCCTTGCACTTATTTCCTTATCTGGTAATCCTGTAAAACACTTGCAAACCCAGAAACCAGAATTTCTGCCGATCTGCATAGCTGATAATCCAGTCTGTTAAAATATGTACGTCAGACATGGGCAGGACCCACAATATGGCTTCCCATCGAAAGCTGGGACTATTCAGATGGAAATGAGGCCTTATCCTTATGACAATAGGTTTACAGTGCACGGGGCAAAGTAAGAGGCGGACAGGAATGTCAGCGGATCACTCAACCGATCACTTTCACGTTAATGATACATGAAGTATACGAATTCGCTGGTGTCCACTTAGCTTCCCACCACACAGCTCTTCATGAAACCGTGACCACCAGTTGCCACCAGCCTGAACTCTTATGTGAGATGACTAATTTTACAGAGCAGTGAAAGCTTGTAATATTGGAAAGTAATGGTGAGCTGTCTGCTGATTCAGTGATGTTGTTACACATATTTTCATTTTGTATTTAGAGTTTGTAATAATCGTGGATAGAATTTGTGCCAAATTCGCAGCGTTTTATTATTTACACCAGCTACCCCAAACTAATTTTATATTTTCATTTTCCTGTTTTACGTCTTTGTTACATTTCGTGTTTTGAAAGTACTTTTACCTGCATGTTACCTGCCACTTTTAAATTCAAGTTTCAGGCGTTTTTCTGGTTCTGTCTCTGGAGCTGTTATGAATTTCATTTATTTCTCCTGGTAGTCTTATCAGTTTATATTTTTTATTTGTACTGGCCATTCATTGTGTGAGCCCCTTTTGTCCTTCCGTCTTGCCTGTATATTTTTTGGGGGTATTTTATGTTTTTTTTTTAATAGAAAACCTTTATTTTACACAGATAAATTGATTGCCTGTGCTCTGTAGGCTTACGCCCTCATAGTCCAGGTTCAGCTACCGGAATTACGCAAAGGATATGCTGTATCCAAAACTACCTACAAAGTCGCAATAAAATTTTTCTGTTTAGTGGGTTTTTATGTTTGCATGGTTGCATTTCTTGCAATCGATTAAAAAATACGAACAGAAGCTCGGTCCTATGCAATCAGCGACCAATATACAATGTAATCATAATGCACGATGGAAAGAATGTAAACAATTCAATGAATCCTGGGAAAATGCTGAAATGAAAGAAAACCGTTTCCAACGATGCGTCAAAAGATGCATTTCCGGAAAATTGCCATTAAAAACGCACGCCAGCGTTGACTCGACACGCACTTGGTAATTCGCATTGATCTCCATTTCAAGACAGTTCAGTGAGTGACACTTTGACATGGCTGCATTCCACTGAATGTGAAAACAAATGTGTCCCAGACCCAGAATTCTGGTGCAATTTAAAACACGACTCAGAAACTTTGATTTGAAATTAAAATCAAAAATACAGTATTCACAGAGCTGAAACTTAATCAGCTGAAACTTGTTCTTAGGCACCCTTCTTTGAATTATTAGTAATTTTGTTGCCTCGAAGGAACAGTAATGCACGAATAACAAATGATAGGAATGGACATTTTAAATGAATTACCACTTGTAATCAGAAACTGCAAAATTGTACCCCTTAAACTGATGCATACGCACAACAATATACACGGCGTACATTGTACATGAATTAGTAAATTAAAAAAAAATTAAGAATCAATCAATGCTTGGCAATGACACAAGCTGCAATTTTATTGTTGCTCAGCCTTTTTGCCCATAACTCTAAAACTCCATCACTGGAGTAAAGCAGAACTTAAATCTGAGTTTCCACATTTTTAACTAACCACTTTTTGCAAAACAATGCCGGTATGTACCATTGTACTGTTATAAGGGGTTTCTTTCGAACGCTACGACCTCTTATGCTCAGCTGAAAAAAAGTTGTGCCCCCGAAAACGTTCCTGATGGCTGCTCTTTTTTGTATTTATATTTAACTCGCAGGCAGTCTTACAATATAGGCACGAATTACAATTTTTATATTTATATATATATAAATGTCACTAGTACAGTTATACATGGAAGCTTCTGTTATCCATGAAAGAAGAATCTTTTATAGGAGGTTTCAATATTTAAACAACAACATTCAAAGGTAACATTTTTGTATCAAAAATATACCTGGCAATATACAGTGCAAGAATATGATTTGCTAAAAATCCATATTATTTCATTTGTACAATTCAAAAGTTAAAAAATACGTTTCATTCGAAAAAGTGAACGAGAATAATATAACATAAATATGGACAAGTTTTGTTTGGACAAGTCTGCTTGTCCAAACAAAATAAAAAAAGAGAGTAAAACAGTGCTTGGGCACGGTATCTAGTGCAAAACCAACAGAACATCCCCCTCTTAAATACTTGAATTTCCAAAAGTTGACGATTCTTTGAAATCATGAACTCAAATCACATGGCTTGTGCTAACATTTGCGTCTAGATGTCTGAGAAGGTGTTCTTAATGATAAATATCTCAGATGTGCCAACAACGTAACATTCTCCATCAGTGTTTATTTACACTGGCTCATAGTTCTGATGATTTTGAAAGCTCTTTGAAATTATCTACGACTATTTGTACCTGAATATTAAACATATATGAGACAGCAGTCTTCCAGGTTATCTTAGTTTGACATAATTTGCTACGATAAGATAAGTATCCTCTAGACAAATGAACCTCAGGTGCCAAGATATACAGTTTGATAAACTTATTTTGCATCGGATGAGTTTGTTTTTGTTTTACAAGTCCGTTGACTCGTTCGCGTCGTCATCGATATCTCGGCCGCTATGCAGCGACCGACCATCGGGTGGATCTCGCTGATGGGATGTCACGTTCTTGTCTCGTTTGCCGTCAAGACCTCCTAAGATAATATTAATGTCATTCATGCTGAAGCTGGTCGCTGTGCTAAGCCTTCTGCCATGTCCCGATTTATTGTTGCTCCCTCTTTTGGCGTGATGGGCGTGATAACTATCGTCCATGTAACGGCCACTCCAATATTCAGGCCGGAATAAACCTTTTGAAAGTGTTGACACGGAACCGAAAAAGGGGGTCGGTGTGTATACATCTACTATGTCATCTTCAGTTGTGATGTCACTGATGTCGTCATCAAATTCGCCCTCCATGTTGGATACTTCACTGTTTGATGATGGGAAGACGCTGCTCATATCATCTGTGACAGATTCCGATACACTGGTTGCCGAAGTTGAGGTGCCTGAGATTGAAACCGTGTCGGTTCGGTCGATGCCTTGTTTCCTTCTAGCTTCGTTCCGCTTAACGAACCGCCGGTTGGTACCCCTGACATCAGACGTAGACATCCCATTTGGGACCAATGACCCCATCTTCTCTGACACATCGTAAGGACGTTGCTTATGCTCCTTTTCAGCAGTTTTTTTACGAAGTGTTCCGTAAGTCCGGCCAAGAGACTGTTGTCGTCTTTGTACTACAGGATTCTTCCTTGTCAATTTATGGCTGTTTTCATCGTCCACTTCTGAGCTACAAATGGTGATTTCTGACAGCATAAAAGTTCCAAAATATGACAGCTTCAACAAATAATAATGGCACCAGAAGTTTCTTTAAGTCATCATTAAAAATGTTAAAAAACGTTAAAACTTTTTTCTTCAAATGTATAGTAAAAACAGTATAAAATCAGTAGGCCCTAGATAATACAACTTACTGTTATTTCCTTGCACAGCAGGAAACCGTACTTTCTTAGCCACCACATTGTCAAGCTCTCTCATGAGTCGATGCCAGTCTCTTTCACTGCTCCTTAAACCAAGAGCTAGTGACATCTCCAGATCATGGTGCACAGGAATGCTCAATATAGATGGGTCCAAGTCACCTGTGTAAAGAAAAGAGGACATTGTGTGCCATAATAATATACGTACGACCCAGGTGCCATGCAAGAACCCTGGCTGTTAGAGCAAAGACAAGTTCATAAGATACACACTGCAACACCTTTGATAGTGCTCACCAAAATTGACGGCGTTACCACGGAGATAGACTTCCTCCTGGATACGGATTAGTTCCAGGGCTTCCAGGGTCATCCGGATACCAAGACGAGCTCCTTCTAAAGCGTCGCTTAATGTCAGATGACTAGAAGAGAAACGAACCTTCTTGGGAAGAGGGTACTGGCGAATGATGTCAACCAAGAACATTGTTTTCCGTTTGAACACTGGAATGCCAGAGGTAACGTAAGGTACAACCTTTATTATTTGATGGCAGCAATAAATGTTACCAGTTTCTAACTGTAGAGCGTTTTGAAAGTTAAAATTTTGTCCAGACAAGTGTAGGCCTGTGCTTCCTCTCTTCACACAAAAATGAAATAAATGCTGAGGTACTTTTGCCAGATGGATTTGTTATCCTGTTTTATCGGCATATCTTTAAGGAGGAGTTCGGAGATTTTTGAAGCTGTGTTCAATTTTAGCAAATAGCTTGCGTTTATGCCTCGAGGCAAGTTTTAAAAGTGATAATAGATTACATAGTTCAACTCACGTGACCGTTTCCTGTCTGGGAGAACTTCAAATGGGATGTTGAAGTCTAGAGGAATGCTAAGGGGGCGCCCTCTCGAATCTATTGCAATAACTCTTTGCTGTTTCAGCCACTGATGAATTCGAATCACCTGCAAAACAAGTCGAAAATTTTTAATGTGTTTCTGTAAATCCAATTCATGTACCTAAGTGTACTATGCTATCCAGTGTGCCTATATTTCACACTTGGCATGTTTATCAAAATCCGTTCTCAGGTAAAATGGGTTCATAAAACATTAAATTTCTTCGGTGTTTTGCTAAATTGTTAGGGTTTGGGGGAGGGTTTTCTTTTGCTAACACTAATGTAGATCTACACCAAGAACGCAGGGAGATCTATATATGTACACAAATGCGACTCGAGCAAAATACATCAGATACAACTGTCGCTCCTCTATAGAAGAACTGACTTATGAACATTCATAAACAGGGAAGTCACAAAAGCCAGCAACAACGTTTATATGTATTTCTTTCCTCATGTCGCATGTTCTGCAGCACCCTGCAAAGAAAGCACCATATAGAGCAGCCATATTGGCAAAGGGTGCCGCTGGTATCCGAACCGCTTCAATGATCAGCAGATATTTTACCATGGCTGACCCCGTGTATTCACAAGATCGCTGCCACTTTGCGGTTCTTAAATCCCTTTGTAAAATATGAATTTGTTTATGAATAAAGGCTGATTCTTTCTTTCAATATGGGTTACGGCAATATGCTCTAAGAATGCCGGAGACTACTTTTTTTCACGTGACGCTTGCATGATAGATTTTAGGTAAATATTCCCTAATACAAAAAATACCGATTTGAATCATTTTTGATGAAACAAAGAGGCTAAAAACTGAATCTCCTGTAACCAGAATTACTGGGTTTTTTCTCTTGGAATAAGAGGCCAGTTTTCTCTGCCAACTTGAACACAAGAATAAAATTTATTCATCGGCGAATCACGGCAACTGAAAATAATTTGACTCCAGTGATTTTATACGAAAGTACACTTGCATCATACTTTTGTTCATTCTTTTCTCACAATTTTATGTTGGACATTTTTTGTCACTTGAAATTATACATTATAGGATCACTCTTGAAAATTCAAATGGCCAATTCTTTTCAATGAAGAGTTTCTGTAAACTGCTACTAGCATTCAATCATTCAACACACCATATTTCCTTTTTACTCGGCATAAATATCCAATTATATATTCCTTAGTGTCACTGAAATATGTAAAATCGAGCTGCGGAGGCCTGTATGTTAAAATTATATGTTTTATGATTTTTTGGAAATAAAGGCCTAACTCGGAAATGTAAGATTCCTTTCTCTATCTTCCTCCAACTTTAACTAATAGAAGACAGCCTCTACACGGCCTCTCCTACAAGTAGCCCCGACAAGCAGCCTCTGGTGAAGAAGCCTCTGGCGATACCCTGGCGAAACTAATGTCTTCATCTCGCTCCCAGCGAACCCAATGTTCGAGGCAGCGCGTGTTCTTCTCGGGACGTGTGGTTCGTCCACCGAAAGCCTTGCAATACGACAGCTCAATGTCGAAGGCCTCACCACCTCCAAGCTCGATGTCCTAGAACCGCTTGTTAGTAACAAGAAGGCAACTGCCGGTGTAATCCAAGAGACACACAAGGTGAGTGCCGCCACCTTAAAGCTCCCCGGATACACAATACCCAGTCATACCAAGAACAGACACCATGGCCTGGCTACTTTTATCAAAGATGTTGTGCCTTGGACACCAGCCGGCCAATGCGTTCCCGACGCCGAGGTTGAGTGATTGCCATCCAAGTCCAAGAGACAACTGTCGTGAATGTCCACACGTCACCTCCAAGCAGACTACAAACAGACTCGTTGCCAGACATTCCAGCTCCAGCCGTGTACGCCAGCGACTTTAACTGCTTGCACACCGACTGGGGCTTTAAACTATCAACCATGACGGCGTGTCCCTGGCAGAATGGGCATCCTCAACCGACACTGTGCTCCTGCTCGATCCAAAGGAGCCCCATTCCTTCACCTCTGGACGCTGGAACACCGAGACCAACCCGAACTTGGCCTTTCCCAAAGCCACCGGGCAAGATCCACTTCCGGTACGGCGCGTCTTGGACAGGTTCCCTTGCTCCCAACACCGCCCGTCACTGATTACATCGTTGGTCCAGTCAACAGAAGGAAAACCATTCCGAAGGTGGAACTTCCGCAAAGCCAACTGGCCGGAATTCGCGAAAAAGTACCAACACCGCAGCCGACTTCTTGTCAGTGCTTAGCGCTTCCAACACCGATGAAACATACGAGGCTATGTTGTAAAATGCTGACGAACGCTGCCACGAAACAGGTTCCACGGGGAGTTCGAAAGAACCATGTCCCCTGCTGGGACGAAGAATGTGAAAACCTCTTATATATGTGCCCACAACGAAGCTAAAACCAACGCCGAGAAAGCTAAAACTGCCACAGACCTCACGAATAGGCTGAATCCGTGGTCTCCACCTTGAGCTCCTATAGGCGATCCCGGACCGACATATAAGGTGGGTTTCATCATGGAAATGTTGACCAATCGCAGCTTCCCCCTCCACACTAGCAACGGCCAACACAGCAGGATTAGACGACTGAAGAATGGTGTCCTTCAAGGCTCGGTATTAGCCCCAATTTTGTTCAACATCTACATCCACAACCTCCCAGGCACGCAGTCTCAGAAGTATGGATATGCAAACAATCTTGCTATCCTGATGTCTGACACAAGAGCTGGGGGCGATCGAAACCGGGCTCACAGCTGACATGTTCACCCTATCAACCTACCTGAAGAACGTGCGCCTGATAAAGCTCTCCGTGACTAAGATTATTTATCCATGCTAAGGCCATGTCCTCTGCATTCCACCTCAACAACAAAGAAACAAACCACAAGCTCAATATCATGGTCGATAACAACAGTCTCCAGTTCCAGGCAGCTCCGACAAACCTCGGGGTTAAGCTCGATTGCACCGTGACATTCCGCCAACACCTGGAAAACATGTCAGCCAAGATATCGGCCCGAGTGGACGCTACGCATTTCTACTAAGGCATTGATCTTCTCCGCCGCTGAGTACTGATCTCTGATCTGATGGAGATATGTACTAAGAAGCTGGACACGACACTAAATAACGCCTTTAAATACGCAGTCTCCGGCTGCGTGCGTGCAACGCCGGTCAACTATCTGCCGATTCTTGCAGGCATCGCTCCACCAATCATTCGACACGAAACAGCCGTCCTGGCTCTGTCTCGCAAGGCCATCAACGACGAGGACCATGCTCTCCACAAGACTGTCACAGACTCCCCGAAACGCGCATGCATGAAGTTTCGATGTCCTCTCGTGGAGCACGCCCATCAGCTCTTGCGCTCTTCTTTGGGAATATCTCGAAAAGACTACGGCTTAAACGCCGTTGGTCAGAAGAGTGGCAGGCAGCAGACCGCTCCAGGCTGCACAGGTTCGTGGAGGCGCCAGACGAACTACCAGGCGAAGACCTGTCGCGTAGGCAATGGACAATACTCAGCTGTCTCAGAACTGGCGTCGGCCGCTTTGCCGCCACCATGAAAGGATGGGGGCTGAGGGACTCCCTGCGTGAAAAGATGGGGGCTGAGGGACTCCCTGCATGAAAGGATGGGGCTGAGGGACTCCGCTGCATGAAAGGATGGGGGCTGAGGGACTCCCTGCATGAAAGGATGGGGCTGAGGGACTCCCTGCATGAAAGGATGGGGCTGAGGGACTCCGCTGCATGCGACTAAGGACATCCCGAATCACAAAGACTGCTTCATAGGTTTATCTGTTCTACTTTGAGGACCTTTGATCTACATAAGAGTGAACACTCTTAATTCAGTTCATCACACATTTGTAACATTACGTATATTTCCCACCGTCTAAGGAACTGTCTATACAGCTAAGCAAAACGGAGACCAGGGGTTTAATGTGAACGTTGGTCTCATGTTAGACATGAAGTTAATCACTCGGGTTGGAAAAATCAATCCTCAAATTTAACCTAAACCGTCCCGATCCTGTTGTGTATTTTTATTTATTAAAGAGTTATGCTCATAACAATCGCACTAATCACTTTCAAGGAATCTGATCCACTATACACTTTAAAAGTTTTAGTCAGAATTAGCCAAATGTTGGTCATTTGTAGTATTAATATTGGTCATTTTTCCAGAAGATTTACCCCACAGTTGAACACTTTGTGACCAGAAGTTGGGAAGTTGATATTATATTATATTCCCAGTGTAGAACGCACTAAACAAAACATATTTTCAGATATGAAAGCCACCACAGACTCCAAAGCTTTCTGCTCACCTGTCCTTGACCAAGCGAGTCTACATCCTCCAACCCACAATGACCCTGAGTGACCCGGACTAAGAGTGGGGCAGGATACTTCGACATCAAATCCCTGGTGCTGTAGGACTCAGCTGACCAATTGATGTCACTTACCGCTCGGGAAAACATAACTTCTGAAAAAGAAATATCAGCCAGTGTTTCTGAATGCCACGGAATATCCCCACTTGATTTTGTCGTTTTCAAAATGTGTACATTTCATGATGAAGGTGCTTACGTTAGCAAGAAATGTATTTGGTCTATGTATTCAACTTACAAGCAATTTTGCAGGTTCTGAGAGTTAGGTTTTTTCTTTCTTTGTGGATTATGATGCACAGTGATCTCGCATGTACATGTAATGTTCAGGCCTATCAGTGTCTAGTGCACTGTTTCTGTTTGAATTCTGCATGACTTAACATACACTTAGTATGAGGAGGCTATGCTAAGGCGGCCGGCTTTACTATATTCGAACTTTAGTTTTATTTCTGAATGGCCTTTTTAACAGATATCTCAAGAAATATTATCTTGGATTAAAAGAGATATTTGCAAGTTTAGTGACGATGTTGAGGCAAACTCAGTCGTACGGATTTTTTTTCACAATGTGACATGGCTAAAAAGAAACATGTAAGACAAAAACAAATTTGATTGGCCGTGTTGTATGACATCGTTTGGGAATATATATTTCCATTCTTAAAAAGCTAAGCATGATTAGAAACGTGTCTTTAAATATTGTGCTCCTAAATTTGAAAATCATGCATTCGTATTAAATATTATTGAACTGGCTGAGCGGAAAAATATACTAAGCACACAAAACAATTAGGAAATAAAACAAAGGGGAAATGAGTTCTCTTAGTATACTATAACATGCCCTTAAAACACCCCATAACCAATTTTAAAAACCTTTTTAACGTCAATACATGCACTTACTAATAAAATCTTTTTAAAAGTGTTTGTCTTCAATAATGTTTGGAACAAAAGTCCCAAGTCCATAGGTCAATAATAGATCTGTGGATAATAACATTCCGTTTGACTTGTACACAACGCATTATAAGTCTTTCTTAATAACTACAGAGATTCTATCAATGTTTCAAAATATATATGCTGAGACTACCAAAATATGAATACTTACCTAGGTATTTCAGCTCGTCTTTGGAGTTTCAGATCACTGAGTTGTTACAGCCGTTCAACATACACTGAATTACCGTTCTAACTTCGATGTTCCATTCCAGCCAAATAGACTGATCATTCGGTTATCTAGAAGTTCAGTTGGCCTCTCTTCTTCCCGACAAAAATGTGTTCTTAGTCAAACTGTGTCTATGTTTGCTCTTAGAACTGTTCGCGCTGGCACCCGACAGCAAAATTCTGCATTAAACACGTACACGGCACCATTGCCAAAGTCGCCCGATAAGTTTTTTTTCATGTCTGTGGGGTGTATTTACCGTATTTCCAGCCGCACTCTCTCGTTCATGGTTCATTGATCATACACAAATAGCATCACTGAACTAACAGGAAAGCATAAATCACAATGGTGCTCGAGGTTATGTATTCAGTGCACGTTACAGCCTGGTTCTTGTTGACACACTGAGCTACGTCAAAAGTTTTATTTGAAGGGCTCCAGTAGACACTTAGCTTTGTTCAAAACTAAGCACAGTATGTGACCACGCCTTTGAAGCCGCGCTTAACACTAGTAGCTGGACGAGTCCATTCCTATTTCGGGGTTTATTCTGCGTTATTTTGCATAAGCGCAGAATATCTCGGTGATTTAGTGCAAATAGACTGCTTTGAATTTTACAATTCTGATTCCGAGTCCAATTTAAAAATAATACTGCTATATGTTTTAAGATATTGTCTTTCTTTATTGTCAATTACCAGAAACGGAACAAAAATACTATACAGCTCCTGGTCTTGCAATAAAACATTCCACTCCAGAAGGCTCTAAATATAACATTACTAGACATATTTTTAAAATGTAGTTTCGCTCCAAAGATTTTGACTATTCTGGTTGGGCAGTTGTATGACAAATCTGGGCAAGCTGACATTTCCCGATGGCCTTTTAATACTATCGTTAATATTCGAAGTACTAGCGTATATAACTCGCAGGTTTGTTTTGTTTGTTTGTTCGTTTTAAAAACTATATGAAGTCTTTCCACAATTTCTTCGGTTTTTTTATTGGTTGCCACTTCTATACAATTTCTGATGACGCCCTTGTTTAAAAAAGTCGTGCCCTGAATATACCTTAAAAATGCGAGGCCATCCCTCATACTTCGTCATACGTTAAACAATAGATAGTGGATATTTTGCCATCGCCGGCAAAAGTTCCCAAACAATATTCTGTTGGTAGCCTTGTTCTGCTTGGTCCATATTTATGACGTCACCGTTGCCGGCAATACCCATCGATAACTATTTAACCGGTCTGGGGCCAATTTCATAGAGCTGCTTAAGCACAAAATTTGCTTAAGTGAAAAAACCTTGCTTGACAAATCAGGTTACTGGTAACCTTTGTTTTTAAGCAAGGTTTCTTGCTCTTAAACAAATTTTGGCAAGCAGTTCAGTAATAATGCTGATTCTATAGTGGAGGTCTCCCTCAGAATATACATTCACCGACACTGGTGCCGACTCACAATGTATTCTCACGTTAGGAACTTATAAAGTCCTCTAATATAGTGCACCACGATGCCAATATTTTGTGTTGAAAATAATTTCCTGACATGGCGCAACTAAATTCAAAAACCTCTCAATGACATTTAACTATTACTCAACTTCAAGTATGAAGACAAATATTCCGTTATTCCTGGGCTCAATGTCTTGCGCGTCTGAAGCTGTGACGTCTTTCCTTTACATATTATTCCAAGGGCCTTTGCCCTTCCCAGCGCAATGTAAAACACAAAGAGTTGAAATTAGATTTCTTTGACTTGAGTTTTATTTTGTTCTCATTCTAATGTCGTTTCACGTTTTGCCACTCGATTTCTGTTTGCCTTCTTCTTACAGGAAATAGGGCAGGCCCGGAGGGTCCGAGGAATTCGAATGACCCTCCCCCCGCTCGATTCAGAGTTCGCTCATTGGTGGTGTTTGTGTGTGTGTGTGTGTTTTTTTTTTTTTTTTGGATACTTTTTTATGTAATAATGTTCATAGCAGTCGATGTTATGTTTCAAAGCTCATTATGATGAACCTTTGAATAAAAATATGCCATGTTCACAGTGCCAAAAGTTCCACTTTTTAGTTTGAAGACCCCCCCCCCGTCTCTGCTCAGGCAACAGGCCTGAAGGGGCCGGGGTGCTTGGTTTGCGTACATTGTGCTCAAATTTGTTCTCTGCACATTAGTTTCGGCGTCAGTCTTCTTTGGCTTGCCAGCCTGGCCTGTAAGCTCCTTTGAACAATGTTCAAACCGGCTTAGCATAGGCCTACAACGGTCGTCTATAGTCTTGTCTCTGTTTTAGGCTTCTGTGATTTGTTGTTGAGCAGACTATTGTTGGCAATGCACTTTGCCTTTCGTTCTACACATGGCAGGAATAGATATCACATTAAACTTCCTTATGTTCATCCGATCACGCACGTACTATCCTCACGGCGATCATATCCACCAGGACGAGGCGTTTAAAAGCAGTTTCTTTCGAAAAGAACCGGAGTTTTTGTGGGCTGAGAAATTGTGGGATTATGTAAGTATGGCCAAGGATCAACTACCTAGATTCAAGGGCCCCCATTCGGGGGCAAAGCAGACAAAAATGTTACTGAAAAATTGTAAGAAGAACCTGAGAAATTTGCGGTATGTCACATGAAAAATGGCTGCTGAGAAGACTTGGAAACGTTCACTTTTTGGTGGGGTGGGTTTGTTTTGGGCAGATTATTAAAAATTAATACTTTAACCTACTAAAATTTGAAAATCAAATAAAATATGAAGAACCAAACAACACATTGTTTTTTGTTTGAGAGGCCTCAGGCACTTCGTTTGCCCGCAATGAGGCTCCCAACTTTGTTGGTTTTACACTATTTTCAATGGAGCTTGATTTAGTGCAGTGCATGCACCCTTAGACATGTCCATTATTTAGAAGAACTGTCAATAGAGGGCGCGAGACACGTGCAGCGGTCGAGAGTTAAACGTTTGTTCATGCAAGTTGCAAGGCTTCGCTCGTTCTACGTATACTGCATGCACTGCGCAACAAGCCGCTTCATGCATTGCGCCCGCAGCTAGCCACAACCAACCGTGAAGCAACAGAGTCATGGCCAAATTATTTATAGGCCTAGACTATGACAGGTCAAATAATCTGATAAATATCGTCTTTTTGACAGTGGAGACTTGATTTGCGGTATATTCACACGAGTTGTAGCAAGTTGTAAATTGTGTCTCAATAATCATCCCTGATCAGATGATGGGCTACTAGTAGTAGTACAGTGGCAGTAAGTACGCACTAATCGTATGCGCGTGATGCACCGCTGTCCAGTTTTCGGACAAACAGCTGTATTTTTTCCTTAGCCAAAATGGCCCCTAGCCGAAGTCAACACATGAATGAACTGTATTGATTTTTCCACACATATCTGGTTGTGGTACGTCACTGATCGTGGTGATTCTGACATTGGTCATGTTGGTTGACTGTCACAATAAGCTTTGTCGCAAATACTAGTATAGGCCTACTGCATGGGTGATTTTGCACAATGAAGAAAGCATTGTTTGGGAAGGGAAAAGGAGAAAACATTGCCCCATGCAGTATTTGTGATGGTTTCGAGACAACTCGACCGCAGAACAACTCGGACCCAGGACATCTCGGACCCAACAACGGAGAACTTGGACCCAACCCAGCCATCTTGGACATTGGCTTTGAATTATGAACAAGAATTACATGTGTGGTTAATTTGGATGCTATTTACGAAAAAAATGAGTTGGCCTGGACCAATGAGAAAATCTGTGGAGTTTCAGAAATTGAACAATGATTTTTGGTCCAACTACATGTAGAGGGCCACTTTGATGTGTTTATGATCAAAAGAGGTCAGGTTTCAAAACCTCTGCCCACGATCGTGCATGTCATATGTGCACCAAGGCATGCAGGTATTACGTTTTTTCACGCCCGAGTAGTACCTAAGACACTACCAAAGACTACGGCGCAACGCCCCCGAATATGCCAAACTGAAAAGAAATTTGTTAGCCTGAAACACGCACACACCTCAAAATGAAACTTCAATTGTGACGCATGCCATTTCCCTGACAAATTCTCTTCGCGTTCACTTTCGGGTGAAGTATGGAAGTCTAAATCGACCTTTATGCAGGCTCACCAAAAAGCATTTGACGGCGCTTGGCCCTACTGCATGAACATCCAACATCGGTGTACCAAATGTGAACTTGCCGCCGGCCTGTTTGTCACCCACCAGAGACCGCGTGTTAATTCAACTGCGATGATTAATCCCTAGGCCTAATTGATATCGGTATCCAGCACTGTTAATGAAAAATGACTGACAGATCCCAGAGACTCCTTATGTGGCATATTTTTGGAAAGCCATAGTTTATACTTTGACAACAATGAGCTAAACTTTACGAACATTATAGCCCATTGTTCCGATATTGCTGTGTTATGCACTTGAACAAAATAATAAAAAAACACCCATTAATACTGATAAAAAAAAGTTCACAAAAGCTGGATATCTGTAATCAATTAGTGTGAACCCTTAATGAAAAAGTGTCTTTAAATCAAAATTATAGGAGGACGCAAGTTTGTCAGAAATAATATGAATCATACAGCGCAGTGGCTGTTTGTTTTCCTAAAGTCTCTGCATCTCGATCTGCTATGACACCTGTACTTTAATTTCTTCAACGTGGTTTTGAAACTTGTGTCCCTCACAAAATAAGGCTCTTCCTCTTTCCACGAACTAACGTGCTGTTTTTCAAGAATGAGTGCCAAAATATTGGTGGGTCTGAGTTGTCCATTGTTGGGTCCGAGCTGTCCTGGGTCCGACTTGCCCTGGGGCCAAGTTGTCTTGGGTCCGAGTTGTCTTGGGGCCGAGTTGTCCTGATCCCTTTGTGATAAGGCTTATGGCTGCCTGTGCTGACCCCAGAACCTAAATAGCAGATGGTACAAACCAGCCTCGGGCATATTAGGACCACTGATGTGCTGACACCAGAACCTAAATAGCAGATGGCACAAACCAGCCTCGGGTATATTGGGACCACTGATCGAGTTCTGGATCTGTGTGAAACAAACTTAACGTATGATTCAATACAGGGACTGCAATCGTGCTGCAGCTGATCACACAGCTATTAGATAGGCCTAGGCCTTAAAGTGATACAGTAAATCGTGTAAATGTAGGCCACTTATATGTAATTGAGTCCTCTGATACATCAACATTTCCTTCAACTTTCCTCAAGCAGTGTTTCCAAACCTCTTTGTTGAAAGACTTCAAATTTGTTCTGTTGAAGACTGATAGCAGTGCTGTTTCTTTCTTGGT